ATATATATATATATATATATCAATCATCATATATATATGATGTCATTATATATTATACATATAATTATCATTTTAAAGGCTATCTTTATTGATACATAACAATGCACATTAAAATTATATACTGTACATATATGTAAATATGCCAACGTTAATATGCATGTGGCCGTATAACATAAAAGCAGCAGAGAAAACTAAATGACAAAAGAAGAATAGGATTCATTTGACACAGCGCAGTACTAATAATTTATTTTGTGTTCTTACCCATTTATACCATAGTACTAGCCAAAAATTTACCATTGTGAAATGAAAATATTTTAATTATTGTCTTTGTCTAAGGGATGCTTAGTAATTCGGGCGGCAATATCCTGCTGTGTCACTCCCAGCCCAGGCAGAGACAGCCTAGTAATGAGTGAGTGACAGCCACTAGAGTGTGTTTCTGCCTGAAAGGAGGGAAGAAAGAGAATGATAAGCACAACTGGCCATTATCCCCTGACTTTTCATTTGATTCTCTATCTCTGCCAGTGGTGCTGTATGCGTGACCCTGAGTCTCATTTAGACTGCCAATCACAGATATGAAATCCCATCTGTGAATTTCACCAATGGATATGGACCTTGATTCCTCAGTGTATTAACAAGATAAGGGGAAAATATTTTAAAAATTTTATTTACCAGTCTTGGTGGAAATATAGACTCTTTGCTACGAATGCGATGAAAACAATTGGAGACATTTATACAAACATGAACTAGACACTCTACTGAAAATATGTGATTTCCAACTAGAGATGCCATCAGTTCTAATTGAAAACCCATCAGTTCTAAGGGCGGGTACTGTACCTTGCAATTGAAGGGGCTCAAAAACAACTTAATGATATATCATTTGATAAATAAATAAACTCAATATTGACTTTCAACCGTGTGAATCAAGTTTCACTCTCTTTGTGAATCCTTTATAGGGCTTCATGTTCCATTTAACCATTTGTGGACCTAACATTCTTTAAAAAGGTGAAATTTTAAAAAGCAGTCTTGAGATCTAATTATCACTGGAGCGACAGGGTCATCGTTTTCTTCAATCCCTATGTGTCTATGTGTATGTGTATGTGATATGATACCTATTAAAGCCAGTGTATGCCTTCCATTTTTAATTCTGCTTTATTAAAATTCCATTTTAATAAAATGCTTCCATTTTTAATTTAATTTAATTAATATTAAATTAATATTTAATTTAATAAATATCTGTGCAGCTTTATTTTTAATTTTTAATACTACTTTAGATTTGCACATATTTTTATAGGACATATGTTTCCAGAAATTGTTCATGCCTTTAGATATTAGCTTGGGAAGGTAATAATGCCTTGGTGCTAGTGTTAACACTTGAAGCATTTGTGATTTTAAGTTAACTGAGCAGGTCACATCATTCAATTTTACTTCTTTATATATAATTGAAAATACATGTGCATTTTTGGGGGTCTTCTGTATATTTGCATTTGATATAAATCTTTCTTCTCCAGAAATAAAATAGGTTTTCTGAAATAAAATAAATACTTGACATAATTAACTTTCGCAAAAATTAAAAGGTAGATTAAAAAAAGCTTAATGCATTTAATAGGCTAAGAAAAAGCTTAATTTAAAATTGAAAGGTAGGTTCAAGAAATCTACAATAAAGTAAATGTATAGTTAATTTAAAAAAGAGGTACAATTCCATTGACTATATG